AGTTACACTCCATTACCAATGAAAGTGAATTTGGACCCGACTTCTAGTTGCGCACCGTTCTCGAACCTACTTTGAACTTAACTTTATAGATATGTAACTCAATGAACTAAGTGAGAGTACTGTTCGTGTTTGAACGGGATTGCTTGCCGTGTTTATATTGCCCACTCATTTATTGCTATCTGTGTAGTAGTTGTGCCTTGTCCTTTTCCTTGCTTTCAACTAATAACTAGGCTATGTATTTTTAAGTCTGGGAGAGCCAGGCTTCAGCATGAGTGGATGGGTCAGCTCGACCGGAGTGATACCACTGCCTAACGGAAAAGTGGCGTGAAACAACCACAGCGTTGTGTTTCGCCGTGTGCGTGAGGTTACCGGAGGCCCAATCCCTACCCCTCATCCCATTCTTTCCCAATCCTTAAATTTCTGAAACCCTTATCCCCAAAACGCCGGCAACGCACTCGTAACGCCTTTGGTGTTTCGGGTGTCTATAGACGGCGCCGATTCCTTACCATCAGGTAATGCGCCTGCTTGTTAGCCGACCTATCACATAAAACGGGCCGGCGACGACTGACTATGAAATGCATAATATTTGACCCGATTAATCATTCAGTTCAGGGCCCATCGTAACATTGATAACGACTAAAATCTTTAATGAATTTCCAACTTTATTGTTCTGGAATAATGTTTAAAATATAACGTGGTCTTATGAAGTAACTACTACTAATAGCTAATCTCGCGCGGTTTCACCCGCTGCTTGACTCCATTTAATCGTAGCGTGATGGTTTATAGCCTATAGAACTCAGGAATATTGTAGCTATCTATTAGTGTAAGAATTTTGAAAATCCGACCAGCGGTTCCAAAGATTACCCCCTACATACAAACTTACAAATTTTACCTCTTTATAATATTAGTACCTATAGATTGAACCAAAGAGCGGCTCTTATTGATAAGAATATTACAACATTTTTTAAAAAGCGTTCGTTTGATTTTGTAATCGAATCATTCTAGAATATTCCATTTCAAATCGACTGCCAATCGATCTGTCCAATTAATAATCAGGTCTCGTCTCTACCATGGCAGAATGCCGCTTGCCACGCGACGCCCATTACCAATGACTTAATTAATTAACGCTAGATGGCGCTGATAACTTAATATGTAATGTACACACATACGACTGCACGACAACATATAAAAACCAGTTTAATATGATCTCGCTTTGTTTGATACTGCCGCATATTCAACGGCCAGTTTATATTAGTTTTTGTATTTACATACGATTTATTGGTATTGTAGGGCTATTCAAGTTATCAGTATACCTTTATATGACTTTGTTGTCGTTATTAGTATATTGATTTCATTAATCAGTCTGGTTTATAAAAACTTAAAACTTGAAATGACATAATAAAACCCATTGAAAAAGAAGGACAATTAAAATAACGCAATCATACAATAGATGAAAAAAAAATTTAATAAGTAAATTCTAGTAATTCGCAAATTTATACTTATAATTTACTCGACCCTAGAATAATAGGTCTTTACCTATGAAATTGCCGTTCTGCAGTACTGGTCATTTCAAATCAAAATAGTTTTTGTTTGGCTAAGGCCAATTAATTTTGTTTTAAAAACATGGGATTTTTTTCCAAAAGTAGTCATTTGTTTATTGATTAGTGTTACATTTTCATCGCGTTTCAAATCAAAAAATTCGTTTAAATTTTTTCATGCAAAACGGCAATTTCATAGGTAAAGACCTTTTAGAAATCACTACTAAGTATAAAAAATAAAGTCGATTTTTCCGTATGTCCGTCCGTTACATCTTCAAAACTACGCAACGCATTTTGATACGGTTTTAATAGACAGATTACTACTACTACTAGACTGGTACTATGAAATAGTGGAGAGATTTAGTATCAGCATTGAACCCGTGCAACTTCGGAGCGGGTCGCTAGTATAGCATAAAATAATAAATTATTGTTGAATGAAATTGGTCGTCGCATCACGAGTAAATGGCTAGACCAATTCCGATAATTTATTTTTATGCAGTATTTGCTAAGGAGAAGGTTCTTCGAAAAGAAAATTTAAAATAGGTAGAGGGGCTTAGCTGGTGCAGCCCTCAAGTATTTATAAAATTTTCGCACTATCTATCTACTACCGGGATCACTGCCACAGTAGATCCCAAATATTTCCAGCAGCCAGCGTTCTTCTTTCGTTTCTCTGATAACTTAACTTACATACAGTAATAAACTTCACATATATTATGCTTGTTAATAATATGTTCCGTACGGGAACTGTTATGGCACTTACCTATGTGTGATGTAACATGATCGTTTTTATCACAGTAAATTATCGATTAATAATGGCCAATACTTCTTTGATGTTTTGAATAATCTCAAGCGATTGCATAGAGTTGACGAACGCGGGTTCAATGATGTCGGAAGAATTCTCTGTATCCAATCCAGATTTTTCTATAATCAAACTTAAATCACAGGATAATGCCCTAGTGGGGTAACGTCTTAAAAATCCTTCAAATACACACACATACACGCTTGGTGTAAGTTTAAAATTTGAACTTAGAACAACACAGTAATTTCGAATAAAACAAATAGTAGGTACTTGGAATTTAAAATTAGAAAGCGCAAAGGACTAACGCGTAACGGTAAATTGGATGTGGCGGGAACCCAAACTTGTTTGAACCACATGCTATGAGAACTTCAGTGTAAAGTGTAGCGCAGATCTCTTACTATCAAATAAGCTATCAGTCTATTTGCCCTTTTATCAGGTATAAAAGTTTGGACTTATATAATTTTGATTGTGCAGGCCTTATAGCCTAATTTAATGTGGAAATATAGAAATAGAAAAAGAGCCCAAAATTAATCAATATTATCTAGTTCTAATCAACGCGACATTTTACTACCGAAGCGCCTACTTATTTATTGATGTCATTATGATGTGTAATATTGTTTATTAACTTGTAATTGTGCATGCGTTCAATCGGACCTTAGCAGTGAAAAATCATCATCTTATTCAAAAAGAAGAGGAGGAAGGAGAAGGTGCGGTGGGGGTTTAGCTGACGGAGGGTCATCCTGGGCGGGAGAAAACAATTGATGATTTTCCCCTGACAAAAAGAAATCTACATAGGTATAATTAAGATGTTTCATATTGACACAACAATAAGAAGAAAGTGCATCCAGACTCTTAGATTTTATTGCATAGTTTAGTTACAGATTGACCTAATAACAACATGACAAAAACTAAAAAGAAACTAGCGACTTTGTTATCGGCAAGTAAAGTTTAGTTAAGTTAGTCTAGTTATTACCACGCCTGGCGCCACTCTCCCTGAGGTTACCGCCCTATTAATAATACGGTGTACTACAAGCCTTATGTAACACGTGCACTTGGAAAACACTTTCCAATTGAACCAAACAATGTTGCGAACTTAAAACTCCATGGAGTGTACTGTATACTTTTGGTTATCAAGTTATCATCGTAATATGATGTTGTGTCTACTCTATAGTTTGTTAACCTTTAATGGTTGAGCGTCTCCATGATTATCTCCTAAGCACAGTTTCTTAATAGTGATGATGAGATTCCAACATGAAGTAAAGTTTTACGAATCTATTACACACACTGTATCTATTATGGCCCATTAAAGTTTTTGAAATTGTCATTAGTAACCTTCTTCATTAGAGACGTCTTCTTTATTAAAACCTAACATTCCTTTTTTGGGCAGTCGTGTATAAATGTTGTTGTTTGATCAAAAATGAAGGCTACCTATATATTTTTTGCCATGTTATGACTACCACGGAAAAGAGATCCTTATAGACATAATAAATATATCAGAACATTTTTTCGCAAATACCCACTTATTTAGAAGGTGATTTACGTAAAATGCTACTCATTTCTTTTGAAGAATGGCAGAAAATATTGGTCCTTTATGTTTTCGCAGAATTTATGGCTATCATTCACTTTGATAAGTCCGTTATTTGTTTGTGAGGAACGAGGTATATTAGGTTTGATTGTACCGATTCTAGCTTATAATGATTCATACTTATTATCTAAGGTCAGTATTTTAATACTGAATCGCAGGATACAGTGTATTGTGTCTCATATACCGGCAGACGAGAGGTTAATTTTAAATTTCTTCTACTTAAGTGTATAGTGAGTGCGCTTTATGCGACATTTCGATTCGATTAAAATGTAATCTATCTTACTGGTAATATCTATTAACAATATGAATCAGCACATAAAGTAAAACAAGAACAGTATATTATCAACGTGCCTTCCTTTCTACATTTGATCGCTCTCTAGGATTCGTTGCGGTTGTCAGCCGGCTCCGTCCGTTGCCCCCTCCGCCGTCGTTCATTTATTTCCAACCGACTCAAGTCTTTAAAACTAGGTACCTATTATCCCTACCAAATATAGACCCTTTGACAATTTCTGAACTTTAAATGAGATTTCTTACTATACGTTTTCTGATCACTCTGTCCCAGCAGTGGGACTCGCCAATGCTAATTTAGATGAATACGCCTGCCTGTACGCCAGCGGCCCCTCATATTTATAATACTCTTAATATAATATTGACCAACACAAAACATGCATCTTGTTTGATTTGATGATTTGAATGTTGTTATTATTTTTTTATTGACGGACCTAGAAATTACAATTTCCATAATATGTAATTTATGTTTCACGGATTAATTGATTCATCATATCATCATCCTTCATCATCAGCCTATTGTCGTCCACTGCTGGACATAGGCCTTCCCAATTGATTAATTGATTGTTTATTATTATTTTATTTATTTAACATAGTACTTACAATTCGCTACTATTTATATTATGTATCGCTGTTTCTTTAAATTTGAGTGTATGTTTGCAATTATGTGGATTATATTATCTAAGATAAATAAAGAAATTAAATTAAATTAAATAAATGTACATAATATATGAACCTGTTGTAATCCCATATTTCGAATATTAATGTTTGTATTATTTGTTGTTTGCAGGAGGATGCTTCGGCTCGACGACAAAGCGTACCATTGTCGGCGGCTGGGCGTGGGCTTGGTGGCTCGTCACCGATGTCCAGAGGATCTCACTTGAGGTAAACAATGTTTATTTATGTTTGGTATAAACATACGTACTTACGTATATCATAACTTGTGTGTTTATCAATCACATCATCATAGCAATGTCACTTTATTAATTCCATTTTCCATTTCATCATTATTATCATTCTTATTCAATAAATCAAAAATCTATTGAAAATCTTGTAATCGTGTATCGCATTGTCTCGTATAATTACAAATAGAGAAAAGCCGTGAATATATATTAACATACCTAATTCGGTTTTTATACTATCTATTTTGCAAAACATAGTTTTTTTACAAAGCATAAACCTCATGAAATCTTTCGTTCCAGGTGATGACCTTAAACCCTATGTGCGAATATGTGGAAACAGCACAGGGAGTCCCGCTCACCGTCACCGGTGTGGCCCAGTGCAAAATTATGAACGAAGACGAGCTTCTCACGACTGCCTGCGAGCAGTTCCTGGGAAAGACTGTCAAAGAAATCAAGATGACGATATTACAGACCCTTGAGGGACATCTCAGAGCTATCCTTGGTAAGTAAATTTTAATTATAGCGCCATCTAACAAATGTTTATGAAATTAACTAAAGCAGTGCCATCTGTTGTTTAACGTTGATACTAAAATAGGATACAATGACGTCGCTAGATGTCGTTAGTAATCTGAACAACTTATTTAACGAAATGTGTTTAAAAGTTAAAAAAAAATAAATAAATAAATACTTATTAGAAAAATATAAACTTAAGAATTTTTAAATGAATATACGAAACACAGTAAAATTAAAAAAAGAAGGTTGGCTGTTTTCGATACAGAGCTTCATGAAATGTGTAATAAAAAAAATGATTTATTTCTTATCTATAAATTTAATAAACTTTATGGCATCTTGTAGAATTTTTATGACATAATGCCAGAAATATTACGAAAATTCAATTCTCGCATTGAACACCAATACTTAATTGAATATTTGTTTTTTTTTATATTTTGGCCCGACTTCTTGTGTTTGTTTTTTTTTTTTTAATTTACATGTAAGTAAGCAAGTAAGTAATTGGTAAATACGAATTACCCAATTGTTTGTTTTATGTTACTTCTTCTGTTTAGGATATTTCCTTTTCCCTTACTGAATAACTCAAACAGAATCATTCTCCTCCATGTTTCCTTGACCATCAACATTATTGTTTCGAACTTTCCGATCTGACACCTGTCAAACCCGCATCTTGTAATCTTGACACTTCCTACTTCCGTTTTGTTTGGATACACGTACGTAATACAATAACGAAGCAAGTATATACAATAGGTACGTTTCTTTATAGTAAGTATATTAAAGCACTTTATGCTTTTAAGTATATCGCTAAAAGTGCATTTTAATGGCGATAAAATAATCACTGGCCTCATTTAAAGAAGATTCCAGAACTATCTTTTGCTGAAAAGAAAGTTGAAAATGTACATGTAGGTGGACTGTTCTTATTTCGATTATAGAAAAGAAGTGTTTACTTATTTTTTATTGAAGTTTAGATAAAACATACCTACAAGATAAAGTTTTACGTATATTCAAAACGTAAATATTGTTGAGTCTGAAATATGGATCCTTGGATCTAAGTAACTAAGTATTTATTTTTAACGAATCACATACAAAAATAGAATAAATCTAACACAAACAATATTTAACAAAGTACAAATATTGGGTAATACCTAAAGCGAATCATTCTGTACCTACCAATTTGATAAAAATAACCTTGATAACAACGCCCTTTTCGCTAATTAATTGATTACTGAACAAACAATTGTTGTTAGAACTATTTGTCTATAGTTGTGCCATAAAGCCCCAGAGAATTTACAATTTTATAAATAAAACGCGATGTAGCCATTTTCACACCCTTCAATGGTGACACACCTCTAAAAGTTTGATGTAAAATTTTTTTGTGAGGTGCTACAATTTGGCTTATTGACATGATGACAATTTGTTTTTACGTAATAGGTATACGGCAAACGAGCAAACAGATTACCTGACGGTAAGCAATCAGTGTCGCCCATGGACACCCGCAACGACGGAGGAGTTACGAGTGCGTTGTCGACCTTTTGGGGATTATAAATTTGGAGATTTTGAGAATAAACATTGTCGTGGTGGCTCAGCGATCAAGGAACCTGTTTCTCATGCAAGAGGGCGTGGGGTCGAAACCTGGCAAGTACCTATGTGACTTTTTCCGAGTTACATGTACTTTCTATGATTATGTAGACACCACTGACCGGCGGTGTAGGTAAACATCGTGAGGAAACCTGGACTTATAATTTCTAATTATAAGTTTGAAATTGCTAACCCGCATTGAGCAAGCGTGGTGATTAATACTCTAAAGCTTCTCCGTGTGAGAAGAGACCTTTGCTCAGTAGTCGGCACTTACGGGCTGATGATGATGATGAGATTTTAGGAAAGGGAACGGATTGGGGTAGAGGAAAGATTGGGCCTCCGGGAACCTCACTCACACGGCGAAACACAACGCTGTGGGTTGTTTCACGCCGGTTTTCTGTGAGGCCGTGGTGTCACTCCGGTCGAGCCGACCCATTCGACAATGCCACAATGTCAGTCTCTTACTGACTAAAAATCACCCTGGTCTATCTCTACCCTGGTATGCCGAAACGTAGATCTAAGCAAGGCACAAGGTATTTCTATTGTGTGTATTGTGGATTGGACTGCACGGTTGGCGCAGTGGCTGGGTAAATAGCTCCGCGCAACGTGCCGCGCGTTCGATTCCCCCACGGTACAGCTCTTTGTATGATCCACAAATTGTTGTTCCGAGTGTATGTGAAATTGTATGTTTATCAACGCACACACGACCGACGAGAAAACCTTAGTGTGGATCAAAGTTTAAAGTAAGAATTGAGATCTACTAGTTTCAACAACAACAGGACTCATAATTATTATAATTATCATCATACCACCATATAGATTATTCCCTGATAATTTCCAGTTAGGGTGGTTGGAACCGACCTACAACCAAGGGAAACTTTTGTATCTATGCTATAAACAATTTTGGTCTTGTAGGTATATTAAAAAAGGAAAAACAAGGAATGTTAACTATTATGTAATGTGTCTGCCATAAATAAATTTAATTCATATATTCCTCAATTACCTATTTCAATAACATCTTACCTAATTAAATCGTTATAGGAGGTCAATCTCCACAAACTAAGAATCTAAACGCCTTCAAATTTTCATAAAATTGGCTTACAGTCATTATCAATAAAAGGCCTCAGGCTCTTTGACAAAATCCGTGATTAAAACATTCCTTGAAGATCTTTCTTTGCTGATAAAAAGATTTCATTTTCTTGTCTGAGAAAATTCAATTTATTTTCTGATCCGCTTGATTGTAGCATTTCTTTTAATTATTTGTAAAATGTTTAACATTATTTCATGCATTTGTTAAACAAACATTTGTTCAAATATGTATATGTACAATAGAATGTTCCAGAAAGGTTGGCCACATACTTTCTCTGTGCGTGATTAACCTTGGCTCCAACATTGGATGTTGGTGCAACATTGATAGATGACTATCAATTTAACAACAGGTTTCTTTAATCGACTAGAGCGTTAACGTTTATAGATTAAGGTCATCTCTCATGTTTAGACACAGGTGCATACACGACGTATACATACATACATACATACATGTATATCGGAAACCAGCCACGCTTCGTCCGCGGTACAAGTAATGTACAGTTGACAACGGTAACAAAACAAATGACGTGCACGGGTGTTCGGTATAGTATGTATATATTTATTTTATAAAATTGGTCGTCAAACGAGCAAACAGTTTACCTAATGACCAGCAATCGGCGCCGCCCATAGACACTCTTAGCTCCAAAGAAATTACGGTTACGTTGTAAGACTTTTGTGGACGTGGGGTTTCGGATATTTAATGATTGGGGGGGGGCATGGGGCAAAGGCTAGGATTGGGCCCCCGGTATCCTCACTCACATGGCGAAACAACATTGTGGTTTTTTCACGCTGGTTATCTGTGTGGCCGTGGTATCATTCTGGTCAAAACGACCCATTCGTGCCGAAGCCTGGCCCTCCCATACTTAAAAACTTTAGAATACCAGTGAGAACATGGAATATTCCTAAACAGTCAACAAAGGGAGTGCGTTTATGACGTTCGGCATTGTGATTGGCCAGCTCCAAGTTAACCAACCAATCAGAGAGCTAAACCCGGGATTGCGTTGACTTAAAGAAAACTCGTGGTAAGCACACTGTAGACCATGTGTTCCTCTGTTCCATTTTTAACACAAAGCAATTCAAATCATATCTAAAAACATTTAAAATCAAAATGAACCTAACTCAACCCCGAAATCTCTCATCCACAAAAGTCGACAACGTACGTGCAACTCCTCTGATGTCCATGGGCGGCGCCGATTGCTTACCATCAGGTCATTAGTCTAAACGTTAGCCGCCGTATCACACAAATCTTCCTGATGACGTTTACTTTGCGATTGTACCTGGTACACTAGGCTCTATATTTTTACAATAATTACGAATAAATAAGGAAATTATTTAATTAGCTTCGCAGAAAACTATCCTCGAGGTCGAGCGTTATCCATGTCGCTTACTGAGGTTCTCTTTTTGATTTCTCATTAACTAAGTAAGTAAGTTTATGTCGTCAATATATAAGATTTTCTTAATATTCTTCAATATTATTTGCTATAGTCTTCGAACAAACTGTACTAGATAGATTAAGGTTTATACATACGTATTTTACATAAGCCATTGTCTATTGTAGCTGACTGTCCAATAATATTAATATTGTGAGAAAAATGAATTTATGCGAAAACATATTATGTACTCGAGGTGATGTATGTACTTGAGGTATGTGAAGCACTTGCCGCTACTCTTCGGAGCAAGAAAACAGAAACGGAGGAGGTTTTAGTCAGTAAGAGTTCTCCTCATTTAGTGGTTGCGTTACCCAGGGCAGGAGAAAACTGATTTGATTGATTTTCCTTCCTCAAAGTCAAAGTCAAAATCATTTAGTTCAACGGCACCTCAAACAGGTACTTTTGAACCTCAAAACGAAAAGAAAAACCTCTTTGACGATATCTGGTGAACAACTACGTCTCAGATAAATTTGAATACCTATAGAAGGTAATTTGTAATAGGTATATGCCGTTTAGGTTGATCGGGAACTTACATGCAGGTGATGAAACAAGGCTCTTGACTCTTAAGATTTAAATTATATTAATTTTATATTATAATATTAATTTATAATATTTATATTAATTTAATTATATTATTTTATTTACTACATAGTTTGGTACTGTGTGTTTAGGGTAACCATATCTTAGGATTTGTCCTGAGATTTCAGGGTTTTCAATAAACACGGGTTACACTTTAAGATCACTTTAATTAAAACTTAAACCACCTAAAAACAATCTTCTTTTGGTAACAATTATTACCGTTAAAATCTATACTTGTTTAACCAAGTAAAACAAACCAAATGCAATGTTTTTTTTTCGTAAAAATTGCAGTTAAAATCTACACTTATTTACCCTT